GATTCGGAAGCATAAAGCATAGAGCATAGAGCAAGACAACAATTCAATCCATAGTCCAATACCCGTAGGGATAGATGCACATTGTTATTGACTGCTACATACATCTGCAGCTCCTCACCTGACATCTGACATCTGACCAGGCGGCTTGATTCGGCGTTCTGTTATTCTCTGTTTATGGAACCTTGTCGAATACCGCATCGTAGATCTGACGTCCTGAAGTTTCCTCTACTTTTCTCATTTTCATTTTTTTCCTTGCTTTATTTTAGTTGTCATATCTACATTTCGATCTCCTCCGTGCCGCACTCTCGGTCGTGTTGTTGGCGGTGAGACCAGCCGCTCTTTGAAGTGCTGGTACGCAATAACCGATTTTCAGGTTGAGAAGACACAATGGCAGAAACGACATTCTGCGATGCCAGCTTTAATGCTACTGTGACAACAAGCGGCGCCGCCACAGTGATTGCGATTGCATCAAATTAATTTCGGTAGCTTCAGATGCTGTCCAATAGAATCGCCCGTGGCACCTCAATAGTGGTGTTTTCACTAAGGATGCAAAAATTTTTGCAAAGCTGATTGGTTGCTTGAGTTGCATCAATTTAAGCTACTGGTTGAGATTGATCTTTCAAGAGTTCAAAGTTCAGAAAATTCAGTAGCATGAAATGATGTAGCCTTGTTATCATAATTGATGTACATAAACTGCCGTACCAGCTCATGGGTGGTTGCAGCCATACGGGCTATAGCCTATATAACAATGCCTGAATTATTTCGTCACGACTTTTTGTATCCAAACATTATTTGTTGCTGGTCGCATTCACTGATTGAATGCAGCCAATTATAAGCCCAGTTCGGTAGCACTTATAAAATCGGAACACCAGAAACCTGGTAATGTGAGTGGAAGTTGCTTCATCATATCCACCCCTACTCGTTTAGCATGTGAGAAGCAGCAACATGGCAGAGGCTCTATCTCACAGGGAGAGCTGCACCTAGATTATAACAAAAGGCTTGTAGCAGCCAAATGCTTACGTAAATCGTTACATTATTGCAACGATTACACATGGCGCATCTGGACATCTAGTCCCTCCAGAGCTGGAGGCTGTGGCGCTTCAGTCCTCGCCAGAGACTTCTCCCATGCCCTGGACAAGAACGCTCAACAGTTGATGCGATACCGTTTGTCATGCTGTGGCTAATTTGTGTCTTTGTCCTCTCGTTGTGCATGTACAAGAAATTTATGTGGCGGATATTGTGCTGAGAACTACGATTTTCTTACTGCTGTAATGTAAGGTTCATGTATTTGCTATATTTAATTTGGTCTCAATATCACTCAAAAAGTTCTGACACACTCAAATTGTGGTTAAAGCACGAAATAAGTACCTGTTTCTCAGAATCGTTCTAACCTAGGTATCGCGAAGCAAATTGCATGAAGGTTACACCAGGAGTATTGTTCCACGCCCTTGCTGCATTTTTCAACAAAATGTGACCCCAAGAAATAAGATATTATGAACTCTATGTAGCTGTTTACGTTGTCACAATCAAGCATATGAAAAGCATGATCTCAGTACAGCAACATAATATTGCATGTTGAAGCAACAGGAAGTTACACATACGTGCACGTGAATATTTCCATGAATTTTGAAACCTCTAGCAATGAGATTTTCATTGGCATTAGCAAGTTCTAAGGCCACCAGCACGTGGCTTCTGCCTCTGCGTTGGATAAAAGATTGGTATTCAACAAAGGCGATTCTGCAAAAACATAGATAATTACAAAATGATGTGCATGTTTGTTCGTTTCTTGAACACCATAACGTTGTCAGAGTGCTGAAACACTTGCCAATGACGTACCATAGTTGTAACTCAGGGTTTGGGTACATTACTATCATAGGTACTGGCATTGCCGGCTTGCAATAAATCCAAAACAGCATGTTGTGCTTCTCGTGGCCACACACACCAGACATGAGTGCTCACGAGCTTACTCGACCTCGAGCGACCAGGTTATCCATGGATCACATCAAGCGGGTATTCACAGTTCCCCACACGACGGCATCAACGCTGGCTGCTCAAATGCCTCACAATGCTCAATGGGTCACCTGAAATCTTGTGGGTGATGGCAGTCGTGACTAAACATGCCCCAAATTTTCAGCTGATTGGACATTGCGTTCAAGCCAAATGCACTTTTGAATCCACGATTTGGAACGGAGCAAGTACACGTCCGTCTGAAACTATGCCAAGAGTTTGCGGACACACAGCGTGGACCCAAAGTCACTCCTGCAAGCAACCAAACATAGGCTGGATGCGCCTTCTCGCAAGGATGCCATCATAGAATTGCTTTGATCAACTATTACATTCAAACGTTCATTAATTCTAGTCTATAGCCGTGCACGTACCAGAAACACATGGAAATCGAGTACCTTGGAGCGCGTGTACCATGGAGCATGTGTGCCATGAATCACATGATACTTTTTAGCCAACTTTTTCTCTTCAGTATCGATCGCCAAGGTGTCTGTGAAGCTGGTTGGGCAGCCCACTGGACGTGGTCTTCTGGCTGTTGCGAATAGAGCGCACCGAATTAGTCAATCGGTTGAGCCACCACAGCTGGTTGGGCAGTTGGTTTTACATGGTCATCAGGCAACTTCCAACGTGATGTATAAACACCACATTTGTCAATTGCCTGACGATCAACGCGATATAAGGACATTGCCGGCTGGTTTATCTACTGTGCATGCCAGATTCTCCTGGTTCTCCCCATAAATCGGCTCAGAGTGCAGAGATATGTGAGTATGCAGTGGCTTCTGTACTGGCCATCACACAGTGCACGCTGTGTACGCCATGGCAATCCACAGAGAAGAACGAATCCTATAACACTTGGTGCACATTGCATGGACGAAATTCTGAATGGTCAATTATACATATCACTGTTAATTATAATGAAGATTGGCTTCAAAACTGAATGACTTCATTCCTCCAAAATGGCCGGGCCCTGGCAAGAGACATTGGCAATCGCGGTGGCAGCTGCCCTCAGAACCTGGGAAGGGTTTGCTATTATTGAGGAGGCTTGTGGATGGTCGCCGGACTGTGTGACGAGCAAAGCGCCGGATTAGTGCCCAGGTTTGGGATGCGCGTCACTGGTCCTAGCCCGGCGAATGTGCCGATGCGATTCCTTCGAGCCTCATCAGAATTTGTTGATTGGATTGATCGTATGTCTGGGTTATCGGCATTGCAAGGCGTTGCCTGTGTACGCGAGTGCTGCCATTTCCGCAATATCGCATTATTGGTTAATCCTAAGCGCATTCATTTTTCCACCCAAAGGAAGGTGTTGAGCAAACATTCAACTATTCGTATGTCATAGACTCTGCGCCGCAGGACCAATCAGCGTCAGGCAGGGTACAGGGTACCTGTGCCGAGGGTGGCAGAGGAATCTTACGTAAGCACTCCGTAGAATCGTCAATTCGGCTTGCCAAGCACCCAGCACGGGTTCGGCGCCGTCTTCATGAGCCGAGCACCGCACGGAAGGGAAAGCCATTTGAGTCCGCCACAGCCAACACAGGCGCAGCGATCAGCGAGCCGCGGTTGCTTGCACGGCACCCTCCATCAGTTGCCAGATAGCAACAAGCGGCGGGCCGTTGAGATTGGTGCCGCTCAAATTTGAGCTTTAAAGCTCCACGCCTAATTATACGCATCGCATCACCTAATGCGCCAATGTCTGGTCCCCCAGCCCCCTGACAACTCCTTTGCAAGTGGGGATTTAAATGGACTGGCTGGAGATTTCCAGCAAATCCCCGATCTGTTTCCCTCCACTCTGGCGCACCCCAGCCCGCCTGCATCGGCCACAGCACCGACGGGACCATCCAATGCCGTTCTCCACAAGAATGATACGCTGGTGGCAGCAGGGCAGATCGTCGAGGATCATGGCGAGACCAGCTCGATCCGATTAACACCCGCCTGGCGTCGATACGGCGCTCGACGCCGCATTGGGTTCGGGTCCGTAGCTGCCGGCCTCGTCCATGGGGTCATCCATACCCTGGGGAAGATTGGCTGGATCCTCAAGAAGGAAGAGCGGGTGGATTGTACAGCCCCTGAGAGCCTCGAGACTGCGGCGTTAGCTTAGCCGTCGATGGCCGGCGCCTGGCGCATCTCACACGCTGGGGACGGGCCCTTTTGACATCGTGGAGGCTCAGTGACACGGAGTCGTACAGAGGCTGTGCCCAAGGTAACAGCGCGAAACGGGGGGTCCCCGGTTCAAGTCCTGGGAACGGTCGGCTAACGCGCCAGCTGCCAAGATTGTGCACTTGTTCCCACGATGTGACATTGGCGGCAGCCACTGCCCCTCGCGCACGGAAGGCACTGCAGGTGAACGCGCTGCAGCTGCAACGATCTCGTTCCCTCATGCCGCAACATCGCCTGAATTCCATGGCATGCACCACTTATTTCCTGGCTTGGAAGGGACAATTATTCCAAGACCTTTGGAGCTGTTCATAAATGCGCATTTTTTTTATCACAACTTGAAGTGGACCAAGAAACGCTGTGAAGGCTACTCAATTGACCCCGTTGCAACAGGCTGGAGTAATTCTGATCAGCTTTCCAGGGAGAACCAGTACAGAAACTGGGCTGTGCAGAGAATAAATACATGTAGATATCTAACACGGTTTAGACACGCAACGGAGTTGCGCGAAAATGGCTAAAAGTTGGGTGCATGTATACGCACATGCAAGCATAACGTATAAGGAACACAAGAATTCTGATTTGCAGCCAGCCATGAGCAATTCAGTTGCAGCTGGATAAAGGCCAAACTGTGCACCATTTAAACAACTTCACAGGTTCACAGTAGGAAGCATATCCAAGCGCCACGATGCACACAATTCAACATTTATGGTTCCTTGATGTTCTGCGCACAATACACAATCTAACAAGGAGCTCCTTGCCTACATCATGTAAAAAAACATTGGAATTCCCAAAAAAAAAATCTAACAAGAAGTCAGCAATTGTTCAATGCGACAAAGGCGACCGCCCTACCGCTTACAACAAGGAGTGCCTTGCACTTCGAATCGTTCCTTTGCCTCCCTGGAAATCCCCCGACACCCGAAGACATGTAGGCACTTCAAGGCCTCAAACCTCTCAAGGTGCCTCAAGCCCTCGTCCGTGACTCTATCGCACCGGCACAGAGCAAGGTACTCGAGCTTCGCCAATGGGCCAATATTCCTCAAGCCCTCGTTGGTGACATGCTCACAGTCCGAAAGATTTAAATACGTCAGGCTCACCAGATTCCCCACATGGGACAACCCCCTGTCCGTGATACTCAAACACCCCTGCAAATCCAACTGCGCGAGTGACCATAACTTTCCAATATGCTCCAGGCCGGCGTCCGTTATCTCAGCACACCTCTCTAAATTCAACGCCAAGAGGCCCACAAAATTGCCCGCGCATCCCAGAGCACCCGCCACCCCCTGATCGCACCATGGCAAGTCCGCACTGGCGAGCGCCGCCAGCTGCGACACGTGGCTCAAAAAGTGATTCGCAAAATGACCTGTTGCAGGCAAGTCCAAGGTCGCGAGTGTCATCAAGTCCCCCCTCCCAGCTCCACCCCACCCAGTCGCCACCTTCTCATTCACAACACAAGTCAAGTGCCTCAAGCCATCGTCGTCAATCCCGTCGCACACGCCCACATCCAGGTATGCCAGCTTTGTCAGCCGTCCCAAATGCCCGAGCCCTGCCCCGGTGACGAAGGGGCAGCGGGCCAGTTCGAGAACTTTCAGATCCGTGAGCTTGCCCACGTGGTCCAGGCCTACATCAGTGATGAGCTTGCACCTGCGGATCCAATCGGTGAGATCTGCCTTTCCTCCTAGGGTCTTCTTGGGGATTTCCTGGCTGACATTGATTGCGTCACACCGAAAACAAGCAAAGTGTATGGAAGCAGGCATGATGACCAATGAGAGCGATAATAGCTGCATATGGACAACATTGATTTATAGGTATTTCAAGGGACAATCCCCATCATCGCCTTGGAGGTGCGACGGCATCTCATTGACATGGCTCTGACGTTTAGATTGTACACATAGACAATATACACATATGTACGTACAGATATACGCTTGTCAAGCGTATTGTTCGAAAACGTGGCAACAACCCGGCAGCTCGGCAATTAGCAAGCAGCACATCTGCCAGCTTTCTGCCATAGTTCAGTCCAAAAATCGATCATTAAAGTGTGTTCGCCGGGCTTTCACCTGCTAAGGCTGAGAGCTGTGAGAGCACCCAACGAACTCAGCCACCGCAAACCCCTGTCTGTGACGTTTCTGCCCTCCAAGATGACGTGCCTCAGGAGCTTCAGGCCAGCAAAGGCATGGAGTTGGTCGTCCACAAACAGGAAGCACCTTGAAGCAGGAAAGGGAACACTAGTCAAGAAAGCAAAAGAGAAGTAGAGAGACGAGCTAGCAAAGGAACAGCAGATGAGAAAAGAATACAGACAAGTACCTGCACATTGAAGCAGGAAAGGGAACAATACTCAAGAAAGCAACAGAGCAACAGAAAGAACAAAGAAGCAAATGAACAACAGAATGCGAAAAACAATACAGACGAGTACCTCTTGAAATTTACTTCTGACACTCTCTTAAACTTGGACAGTGTCTGTAAACCTGGTGGTGATCCTGTTGGTCGGATAGTCGTCACCGATTCGGTCGCCCAGCGACTCCAGTGCCGATTGACAAGCCGGGCGGCCTTCATAACCGGCCAGCTGCGGCTGCCATTTCGCTCCAGAACCTTCTTCACGACGTCCAACACCTCAAAGGCCAGCATGCCCCAGTCTGGCCCATCACAGTGCACCTGGGGCATCAAATGGACCCATGTGAATCCTTTATTCTTATTCATCGCAAATCAAGTGTTTGCATTGACGTTAAAATCAAAAACAAATGCATCAACAAAGCGTACAGCTCCATTGCAGGCTTGAAGGATCAACGCCGGCGTTAGCATACTCTGACAAATGGAGGTCAACTGGCAGTGCTTGCGGCGAACGGGTTAGCCCGTTGTGCGAGTGAAGCTGGCAGGAAGATAGTGTATTAGTCATACAGGAAGCTGACATACTTGTATATTGAATGAGAGCAATCCCATCTTTGCCATGCTGACATAAGGTGAGGTGTTGTCTTTTCAATGACTTCACAATCACTGCCGCTCTATACTTACGCATCGGAGCATTAATTCCTGTTTCAGTTCTGGTGCAAATGTTGCTGGGTGAATTGACAGCAATGAGCTGGAAATATGGGCAACCTGGGACAGGTTCAGAAGATCTGAAAGCAAGCATGCTCTGCCACCATTGTTCCAAGAGTTGCATTTCACTCACACAAACACTCTGCATTCTGCATACCTGCTCAATTGCCATCTCTTGATGGCACAACTCCATTTACTACCCTTATCTTCTCCTTTGAGTTTCAACAGTTGTCAGCAATGGTCCTGCAGTGCTGCAAAACTAAAAAGGAACCCATGTCCTCTTCAACGACAAGTATGTCCACTTGCGTGCCAGGGGATTCACCATCTTTATCGCATCGCAGCATCCCCATCGACCCCAAAGCATGGCCATCGACAAGACATGCCAGTCTGTCTGCACAATGGGCAACACGTCAGCAGAAACAACACCCATTGATGCAAATGTGCTGCAAACGCAGTGCTGCCACAGCACCAGCGGTAGCAAATTCACCCACTGCATCAATTCGAAACCATGGGTAGGGAATTCAAGCAGCCCAACAGTACAATGGCTTGAGCTGAGGCCCTTCACCACTGCTGCTGGGATTCATTTCGTGTGATGCAAAAGCACAGCAGGCCTGTGGATAACAGCATGGAAAGCAGCCATTGGAATGGTGCTAATCGACAGCAGGGATCAGATGCAAGAAGCACAAATTGATCCCATTTCCAAGAACTCGAAGAACAGCAGCATTGATGCAAACTCCATTAACAGGCAGAAAGATGAATGCAACTCCTACAACTGGTGAGGAACTGGAGAGACTGGTGCAGGTTTTCAGTTCTAGGAACGTCCACTAGGCTGGATTGATGCATTTCAGTGAAATGTTCACTGCATCTCAAAAACATTGCCCAGATGCTACTCAACCATCCCCTTGTGATGACCACATGTGTGAGAGCTGGGCCACACAAAGGGTAGGTATCTTCGGGGTGTTGCAAATTTTGACAAGAGCTGATACATACAGCTGGCAAGTATGTGACATGTTTCTGCACTGGCCTCAGAGAAACCCTTTACCAGAGGGGATGCCATCCGAGGAGGACCAACACTCGTGATAGTACACAGCACCCAACATTACCTAAAGAGCAAAAGTGCAACTAACAAAGTGCTGGGACACATTCATTGGTGACGATTCACCCTGTCTTAGGGCTCGGAGGAGATCAGAAATGCGAGCAATTGAAACAATCCGCGCCAAGGCAGAAAGGAGACGAGGCGCCGCTGGCAGCAGTGGCATCGCCCATTGCGTGAATTGCAGCGCCTCGTCGCATGTCGACCAATGCAGCCCACGAGAACTTGCTGTGCAACTTGGCAGATTCGGCTGGGGGGAGGCCACAGAATCACAGGGGTTTTGAAGGCTGACGCCTGGCGGGCGCATTCGTCGCTCACATCCGGCTCCCCAGTTTCTCTGTTCTTCCTTTGGTCCCATTGGCTGCACAGGGTCCTTGCGCTTACAGTGCGCTGAAGGGCACTCTTGACTTTTGACCTCCAAATTGTTTGTTCCCGCGATACGAGGCGATCGGTCGTAGGCGACGACGGGATCGCCAGCTCACGCGGCCACGCGCAGGAATCCACGCGAGATGCGTGCCGGTGCGCAGGACTCTGAATCGCTCAAACGGACCGGGGCGATCCCGCGCTCTTTTCCGTGGCGTGTGCTTTTCCCATTTCACCAAGAACTTCCTCGCCATGTTTCAGAGCAAGACCAACGGGATGGCGCGCGGGGAGCGCGCCTTGGGTGGACGTTCACGTCGAGTCCTACAACAGGTTCTGCTCAGGAGGCGGCCGCCCATTCCATTTGCCCTTACCCCATTGTCACAAGAATCATGCATCGGTGCAACCGATCGATGCCAGGATGGGCCCGTCTCTGGATGCCCGCGTGGGGATTCGGCGCCAGCGCGGCTCGCTAAGGGTGCTCGCACCTGTCTGCAGATCTGGGTGTGCCTGAAGCGCAGTCGCTTTCCCAGCTATGGTCTAGTTTCCCACACCCGCAGCGAGAGGCAGCCAATGCTATGTTCTGGGCTTTGCCCTGGTCAAATGACGGTGTGCCCACGTGTAGGCCCACGTTCTAGGCACTGGGTGCTGACTGTTGCACACACTGTCGTGAGAATATATTAGTCCCTCTGTCTTTTCCGTGAGGATCCCTTTTTCTTCCGCTGACAAGGCCAACGAGGGTAAGTGGTATTAGGGTTTAGGGTACCGAAACAAGAAGGGATCTTCACAGAAACAGTAGAGTGACTAACTTCATGCCCATGCAAGGCACTAGGTGCTGACTATTGCACACGCTGTCCCCGTGTTGTCTGTGTTTGGCTACGTATTTGGAACTGGGCATCGTGTCAAGTACACAAGTAATCATGTAATAGCATGACATGATAACGCTTGTAGTCTCCGTATCCTATTCGCATGATATCGAGGATAGGCCCTTGCACGGCGCCGTGCACAGAATTGGGGACAGCAATGGGTTGAATCCATTCGATCCATGGACAAAACAGTGCCTTGGAAGCTTGCAATGGAGCTTTTCACCTCCCCAATGTGTTACCATACTGACCATGAACATCTGAAACAGGTATCTGCGACAACGCACAAACCGCTGAGCAGAAATAGAAACAGAATGGAAGCCTGCTGTAGGGGCCACACACATGGCCCGGCACACAGTCAGCACTCAGAACATAAAGTACAGACATCCGAAATTCTCACCATTCAACTGTTGAACAGCACGGAACTGACGCTCAGCACAGTTCATAAGTCTAGGTACCCTCTGGCGCATTGAAATTCCACAAAGTCGTCAGGAAGACATGCTTGGCGGCCTACAAGTCGCTGCAGATCCCTTAGACATAGCATTCACCTCCCATCTTCCATATGCCAAGTGCTTCGTGACAATTTGGGAACCTTGATGACCAAAAACCAATGAGCGCCCGGGGATGCCACAAGCTTGCATTCTTAGCCGAATGGAGAAGATCAGGCCTTCTGAGGTTTCCGATATGCCGCCAGGTTGGAGCCTGCTTCCACTGACAGCTGTCGTTGCCTCTGCTTCTGACGGGCCGTCCAATTTCGACCTTTTACTTACGAACTGTACATCACTTTGAGTTTACAAACTGATAGGTAGAACGCGTTGTGACACATTACCCAGATCTGGATCTTTGTTCAAGGATCATTCGTGTCACGATATTCAGGTGTGCAAGTTGGGCGGGCCTGTCGCGCCCGGCTCGCGAGTAGGTAGTGCAGCGGAGCCCATGGAGTCCCGTCCTCGCTGCGCCGAGCCTGCAGTCGCCGGCCGCGGGCCGCCACAGTCGCCCGTGCCACCCCGATCGACAGCATCGATCGGAAGAAGGAGAGCTCTTCGGAGGGGTCCCCCATGGTTGAGGGACGACCGGAGCGGCGAACTTCGACGGCGCCGCGTCGCGGAACAGTTCGCAGGCGCCGTCGGCAGAGGCTCGGTCGCGGCCGTGACGTCGGGTACAACGTACGGTTGGAGACTGGAACTTGACGTGTGGATGTGTTGTGAATGTTTTGGATACGGTAGTCGATGTTGCCGGAAGCTCGACTGGGAATCGTGCCAGTATTTCAGTGTGTTCGATGGAGAATGGAGAATATTCTTCCGGTGGAAATTGCTGTTGGCCAGGTGGATGGTCGCTCATCTTAATATAAGAGTTGCGGAGCGCTGGCTCTGGGAAGCTTTCTCACACCAAATATACCACAACGCATTATGAGTTCAAGTGCCGGCCCCATCCCAACAGCAGAGAATTGGGCCTCAAGTCAATTGTTCCCATTGTTTAAGTGGCAAAGGGGTTGACTACTATGTGCTATTATATCGCTGTGCCATTCTGTTAGATCTCCTTTGTGACTAGTGCCGGATGATCATCCCAACAAATGGGTCCAGAAATGTCCACCTCAAACTGAGCAAAACGATGGAAGAGATGGCAGATGTTCCCATATAGACATTGGCGAGCGGCCTGCACCAACAGCCAGAACTTGTCATCTGTGAGCTTGCTTGCCACACACCTGAACTCAACAGCCATTTGCCCAAACACGACCCAAGGAAAAGAAATATTAGCAACTTGCAATAGCCAATTGCTGACTTGAGTGTGAACAAAGTCTAAAATTTCTTCAGCAGGTGCAAGGCAGTGCTTTGTATTCATTGGCTGGAAGAGGTAACCAATTTGCGGTTCACCTTGCCTAATAATTTGCTATCATCGTTAGGTAACATCGCCTTTCATAGAGTGTTCGAACGAGCATGGATGGTCCACAGGTCTACTAATACTTAGATTACGCAAAGACTAGCCCAGCCAAGGGCAACTGGTAGAGTGGCAAAAGCAGAGGGCATGCGAAATGTTGCATATATTTTGTGCTGTGCATTTTGCCAGTGAGTTGTGGATGGACATGCTGGGGGGTGGGACATCATTTTTGGTCACATTTGCTCCCTGACACAAACAGACATCAAATGATGGCAAGAAAAGGAGAGACTGACAAGCGACTGAAAAAAATGAACAAATGAATGGATCTGAACAAGTAACAGGGCAGAACATTGTGTTCATGTCACACATATCTATTGAGAAAAGTTCACTTTGAAATATTTTTTTCCAAGATGAATGCTCACCACACAACCTGCAGAAATTGTGTGACTAAAAGGTGCAACGATGAAAATCCATATGATGAGTTTCATGCTCTCTTTCTAAGGTCATTGACACTATTTAACCACTCCAAAGATGGTTTGGACATCTCCTTGCACAACAAGTGGATCATGGCTCTTGCAACAGTTGTTGCCATTTTCAGGGCACCGGACTCAATGATTCATTTCTTTGATGTAAAGACACTAAACTTCTATGGTTGATTTCCTTGATTTAAAGATGCCGCTTCATTCTGGATAGGCAAACATTCCATTCACAATCTTGTGCGTCTCTTGTATTATGGCTGTGGTGGCATTCCAGCTCTTAAATATGATGTAATATCTTGAATTGACCCAACACCTGTTGCAAAATGTTGTCTTTGCTGTTGTCAGTGGGGTTCAGGAGCTGCAGCACCGGCTTCCAGATGGCATGTCCCTTGAGGTTCTGTTCCGGAGCGGACATGAGGTACAACACACCTCCTGCTGCTTTCCCCAGTCTCCAACAAACGTTATTACAGTCATATTTGCTGCCCCCATTTCATCTTTGTTTTCTAACTGTATGTCCTGGCCTGTAAGCTGTTGATACCAAATGGTATTCCAAGAATCAGCCATGCTTTTTATGGCAGACCGATTTCTCCCTTTGTTATCAGTTTTGTGTCTGTAACTTCTGGCATACCTCATTCTTCTTCTCCAAGAATCCATTATCGAATCTTGGGCTCCTGTCTGTTCAAAGCCTTTTCATCCACACATGGACAGTCATGTTGTCCCTCGATGGGCACCCGTGCATGCTTGAGAGACAACACAACACATGCCTGAATTCAACATGCACCATACCTGAACAGCAATTCAACAAATGCCATATCTGTTGCATCCAGCATAGCGGTTGAGAGATCGGCTGCCTCGTACACTCCTAACAAGAGAGATGCGGGGGTTTCACCGAATTGATGTGGCTATGATGGCTTTGTGAGACAGTGCCAGAAAAACCCTAGCACTGCTGACTCCTATACCCTGCTGTTCAGGGTGAGACTCGGCCTCCACTGGTGTTTATTCCTGGATCCTATCATGGCGCATGGTGCTGGGAGGCAAGTGCCGCAACGAAGTGTTCAAACCAATGATCGGTATGCTGCACGATTGTCTAGCAGCCTTACTGCTCATCGCCTAATAGGCGTAATGTGACTTATTTCTCATGACCATGTTTGACAGTGGTTGTAACTACAGATGTATGTACAGTCTCTTTTATGTACAGTCAGCCCCTTTGTTGGAGGGAATGTGGATAAAGCATGATAGCATAGAGCGCTCTTGTTGCGTTGATTCTCAGTGTGTGCTTTGTCAGTGAACTGGCCTGATTTTCTGTTCTGTCCATGCTAAATAGCAGAATGCAAGTGCTGGTCTTTTGTCTCATCAGTATACCATACAGAACAATGTAGCATTTAGGTACTTCCCTGAGGTTATGGTTGTCCAGATTTTCTCCATATTGTGGACAAGTCAGAGCGAATGCACACAGGTTCGACAGTGCGGACAAGGTGCTGAGGCACTGTAGCTATGCTGCAGAGCAACTGTGGATAGTGTGCGCAGAGAGTCCATTCCACAACACACAGCATCACCGTCTTGCTGCGTACTGTGGATTGGTTTTGTTGCTTGCTGCTTTGCTGTCTGTTTTTGGGTCCTTCTCATTGTCTTTCTGGGCAGTGTTCAGTTGCTCCCTAATTGTTAGGTCTTCTATCGATGTTTCCTGTTATCATCCAGAACTGCTGGCTTTTGCTTGCAATTGATGCTGCTCTCACCTTACTCCCATGCAGCCCATTCACTTTCTTCCTATGCTACCTGTCTGTTCTCATGGCATTGGGGCCTGGAGCTTTCATCGTGACTATTGCAGGCTTCTTCTAGACAGCTATAATGACAACACTGATATTCTGAGCTCAGACCAACACACACTGTGCCAGTGTGTTGTTGTCATACAGGCTTTGAAGAAATGTGCATTCATCCATCATTGTTGGAGTTTGATTTGCTAACATAGTCTGTCTTCAACATCCAACCAACCTTGTGGTCAATTGCAGGAAAATTTCTCCCCCTATCTTTCACAAAAGGGGTACGACTGCTATGCTCTCAGTCTGAGGGCACAGGGTGGCAGTGACAGGGGTGACCTCAAGCTTGCAGGTACCCTGGACTCCCACGCACAGGACATTGCGAACTTTGTATCCTCACTGGGCAGGCCACCGGTGCTAGTGGCACACTCATTCTCAGGGCTGTTTGCGCTCAGGTGAGGTGCTGCACGTCCCCAGGATCTTTGTCTTGTTATTTTTCCAGATGCAATAATTTCACCAAAGGACTCACAACGGAAAAATATTGAAGGTGCAAATGTGCCAGTACACTGCAATGTTCCTGCTGGTGCAGTGATGAGCCAATATACGTTGTGTGCCTTGACTTTGTGTTCAACCTTGCAAGAAATAGGTAACATCACATTGGTTCATGAGACAATATCTGTGCATCAAGTCTCTTCATGAGCACTTGCTGTGTACACTTGTAAGCATGATGAGTGTGATGTTGAGAAGAGATTGCAAACAAACGAAATTTTATATGCAGGTGTACCTGTCTTTGTTGTGAAGGCATAGACTGTGCACTACTCTGTCACAATAAGTATCGTGTGTGCAAATCATATGCCCTTTGAAATCTTCAGGGGCGAATGTACAGAAAATGAATCTGTATCATCTGGTGCGCCATTCCCTGTGTTGAGTTTTTGCTATTTTTCACCCACAGGTTCATCGACGGCTCTGACAGGAATAATGGGTTCCCAAACATTGCAGGCGTCGCGCTCCTCTGCTCCACGCCTCCCTCTGGGAATGGCAAGTTGATTGGGAGATTCTTCCGGAGGGACCCTCTGCTTTCTGTGCAGATAACCTGGTGAGATAATTGGGCAGCAGATGTGATATTTGGATGCATGCTGAATGAGAGATTTTCAGAAAATGAATGAGATGTTGAATTGATGCTGTGCTTAGAAGTGTTGAAACGGCCAATTATGAACACAAATGTTGTGGTTAGCGGGTTTCAGATTCAGTATGAAATTTGGAAGGATGTTCTGTTGGGAGACGTTGGGACAACTTTGTTTGCAGATCTTTGCAGTGGAAAAGTCCAAGCACTTGTGCATGGGTGAAGGGCCAGAGGCCAACTTCAGTGTATTATGCCTTAAGTTCATGACCTCACTGCACATACCATCCATCTGGCAGCTGGATGGCAATGGCTGATTGGTGCCGAGGTGGCAGCTCTTGCATTGCTATGCAGGTGGTCATGTGGATATCATTGTGTACCCCTTGCTAGCTACAACCATTTCATGACCCAATGCATGGTGACATTTTTTTGCGGAAGATGCCAGTTTCTCCAATTTCTAAGCACAATTGCCACCACATTCGTTGTCAACAGGGCCTTTGTCACCAAGTCGTTTGCTAGGAGCCTTGAGGCCTGCCAGCAAACCTTCTTCTCCCCTGACATTCCCAATGAAGATCTGGAGAGGTAGACATGTCCACACTCTCTTTCCTGTCTAGTTTTGATCCTCATCTTCAGCTCAAATGAACAACACACTTTACGCACTTGGGAGCTGAGCTTCGAGGTTGTGGTCAGTTTTGGATAATTGTTGCATTGGACAAACACTACAATACAATGACCGCAGAGCATTTGGGATCCATGCCATCGGATCTTCACTGAAGCGCACACTTGTCTCCATCTTGTTGGGACTGCATCTGAATGTGTGCTTGCCTGGTCAGGTGACCCTGTGCCAACCAGCGTGTCTATTTGGCGGTGGGCAATGTCATACGGAAATGGCATTGCATCGGCTGTAAATCAGCAATGCTTACATTTCCAGAACTTCACAGACTGCCATTCACTACAGAACGAAAAATTCGGGAACTGATCACGTTTGCGAATGCTTGCTCCTCCAATATTGGCACTGGCATGAAGTACCAATGCCAGCCAACCATTCCCGCATCTCGCGCTGCTGGAAGTGTGTGCTTGAGCCTTGGCAATGTTCGGAGAGCAGCAGCATCATAGCCCCAGGGAAAGGGACTTATGCAGCATGTTGTACATAATTGACACAAGTGTTGCAAGGCTTGGTTGCCACGAAGGTGGCGTCCGTTGGATTTTGGTATGCTCACATTCCTGCTCATGTCTTGCATGTTTGGACACTTGCCATTTTCTAACAACTGGATTGGTGTCAGATACCAGGCCCAGCTGGCTGCCTGCAGCTCTGTACCCCTTTTGGACATTCGGGCAGTCAATAAGGACCTCCCACTCCCAAAGCCAAGAAGTCAGCTTCCTCCATCTTTCGTCCTGGGTGGTGTAGAAGACAGAATCGTCGACAGGTGTGGCTACAGAATTGGTGTGTTGTGTGCCTATGGCCTTCCACACTTGGCCTTCCACATTTGCTCCTCACCTGCCAGGTGCTGGCAGGGACTCCACAGTGTGATGCATTGCATGCTAACACTGCTTCCACTGTGAAGCCTGTCAGACTCAGTTCCTTGGATTGCACTTGTCGAAATGATGAAACATAGCCATTCCATCTTGACGCCTGCACTATCCGGTGATTTGGTATGGAGTATTCTGGTGTTTAGCACTTTCACACTTCTTGCTTTAGTACTGTGACGGCTGTTCAGCGTTATGAGACACTAAACTGCCTGTGGCACACTGAGCCAGTTCACTCGTGTTAGCTACCTCTTCCCCTTGTCTCATAGTCAAAACTGCTGTCTCCCTCTCAGCAATACATACACAGGAGCAGACTCAAAGTTACTGTGACACTACTGGCAACAAAGTGTAACTGATTTCGATGTCGTTGAAAGGCGTGTAACCAATTCTGGGTTGCTCCTGCGTTCTACATCCCTACTAAGACAGAAATGTTGTAAGTTGATTAGTTGACAAATACAGATGGTTGCTAGACTATGTTGAACTAGTTGATGTGTTCATATTTTCCGTATTTTACCATCTTTTGAGCGTTTTCTCCATGCTGCGATGGTCAGGTGGTTATTGGTTTTGTAATCTTTCGTTGTGACGTGGAATGCTCCAATTCCCAGGGAAGCCATCGCCGAGACTGCTGAATGGCTGGGGGTGGATCCGATCATGCTGGACGGCATGGCGCATGACTGCATGCTGGCAAGTGGATGGCGCTTTGCTTGTTGAAAGAACGCTGATTTTGACGCTCGGGGCATCAATCATGTAGCACCGCCTGAACACACGGGTGGCTAAAGGATAGGATGGCGGATGCCGGCCAACTGCATCCTATGGTAAAAACGCCCTATGACGCATACATAGCCCCCATCGCCTACAGGATGCAACGTCACGTTTTTTGTTCTTTTTTTGCGAAGGCAGTTTAAAGAATTGCGGCTAACTTTTTTCCGTGCGTTGGCAGATTCGTGCGATGTTTAGCTCATCAATTGAAATTGACACATTTTACTGCAGCTGTTGCCTGGCGATATCGTTGCGGTTTGATATCGTCATTATTTTCGAATTTCAGCGCACAATCATGCAGGCAGGATACTGCTGATGGCGTTCAGCTGGCGCTGCGTTTTTCTCACATCATCAACGCCAAGAGTTCATGTGTCGTCCTCACAGCTCAAGGTCATTGGTACCTAAGAAACTGTGATGTCATCGCAACGATGACCGGATCCGATAAAGGCTGTTTTGCTGCTTTGCTTTCCAGGACACGCGATGGCTGCAGGCCGTGGAGGCTCTGGCCAACTGGCTTGGCGGCATCGAAGTCACGAAATCCTGATCACGGAATGTGTCCTGACACTGCTTGAGACCGAGCTTCGACCAGACCGGGAGCGGCAGTTGGGGGTTTTTCTTGTTGGCAGAGAGGCCAGCACGTGCCCTGCCTCCGTCTACACAGCGTTGTGCTCCCAGTGCTGGCAAGAGGGTGTCAGGCGCGCACTGGCCGCTCCACACCTGCTGTGTCGCATGGAGATGTGGTATCGGGGTCTTTTGAACGGCTGTGGGGCGCAGCACGATGGCAGACCGTCCCAGGGCGAAGCCATCCTGCGGGGAACCGCGTGCACAGTGTGCAGCATGGTGCATACCTGATTCGCGGCGCTTTGTTGTGCGCAGTGGCAGGCGTCGATGTGGCTGACAGGTCTCTGAATCATGATGTCAGGGAGCGGCGACAAGTTGGTGGTTTAGCTTATTATCCGATGACAACCATCGGCGACTTTGTGGATTGTCATCGTCCGTTGAGGGCCCTGAGGGCATGTGTTTTCAAGATGCTAAAATCCGATTCCGCGTTGGATTTTTCTCTTTTGTTGCTCTGCATTGTGATGGGAATGCAAACAATCCTGCATACATGCACAAATGCCGGCGAAATATCTGATGCCAAACTTCCTGTCCGTCGTGCCACGACCGACTGACGTTCCGCTGCATCTGTACGTCCCTAACTCGAGTGACTGAATTTGGTCACAATGCTCAGGCGTGTGTTGCCCTCGCATCCGATGGGTGATGGCAGGCGTCATACATGCGCCAGCCTAGCGGAAAGGCTTGCCGTGTCATGTTGACATATGAATTATTGGTCCAGTCAGCCGCCACGCACATTCCCTGAAACGATGCCCTGACAGCAGGAGGGATTTCCATAAAGGCACCTCAACTGGGGACACTAAACAGCGCACAGGTAGCACATGTAAGAATGGGGGTATCCGTACCACCGTTATGTATGGAACTTCGTGTCTTATTATCAGCACGATCAGTCTGGGATCCGTACCTCAACCGTATCAAACACTGCAAGCGAAACACGCCGCACAGCTTTGCCATTGGAGGATTGGTCACGTACACGCGTTTCAATCAATTTCAAGAGATATTGCCTTGAAAATGCTGCACGGTGTCATGCAGGAGCGCATGGCTGAACGCCGTCCAGAGCTGATAGCCACTTCCTTGCCCTGATCTGTGATGTTCGTTGACTGCTTGAATGCCACGATGAAATAATGTCCAAAACGCCCAAAACGAAATAACGCCCAAAACGCAAGAATCATGTTGCTGTGGATAAAACAGTTTCATCAAATGCCGCATGATATGTACTGTCCAGTCCGAAGGCGAATGAGGCGATTAGCCTCGCGCGGCAGCGCACATGTGGTAAAGATAGCCCTGTGCAGCACAATGAAAACTCTGTGGCATCTTGGGTGCGGCACCCTCAAAGTCGTCAAACAATGGTGTGGCACCCCGAAAGTTGTCACAACCCGTGGGGCGGCACCCAAAATTTTGGGTCTAAAGAGTTTTTGACAAAAATGCTTGTCGTTTTCTAAAAACTGCTGGAGCAACGTCACAGCTCCCAGTGGGGTGACGCGAGCTACCCCAGGGCTATGGCGCGGCACCCCATGGCATCTCAAACCCTTGTTGCTATACCGGTCGACATTTCATGTAAGGGTGCACCACAAATTTGTGACGATTGTGACGATTGTGACTCTTTAAAGAGTCGTGATAACGGCAGGGAAAGTAGGTCGACTTGCAATTCTTTGCACAGTATATCGGTGTCCTCAAAAAGTGGTGGGGATCTCATCATATGGTACTATAGGGTCATCTCCCCAGTGACCTTCGGCCGATGGTTGCTTGAAGCTCGAATGACCCGGCAGCAAGCTCCTTGTAGATGAACCCAGCATTGCTGCGCGCAGCATGCCCTTGCCCAGCGAATCTTAAGTACAACAGTAATTCTGCCACAGCGCTCAAGACGACAGAACATCAGCCACCTGCTAGTAGCATATTTGTTAATTGCCGCGGTTTGTATGTCAGGCCGTAATCGCATGGTCAATGTACTCGATGTGGCCCGTTGCACGCCTTATTTTTGCGCTGTAGTAACTGATCGTATTTGCGTTTTCATGCGTAAAAATAGTTTTCACTTTTTTTACGTGTACACATGGGCAGAGCACACAGACTTCGGGGGCGGGGAAGTGGCAGCCATGGCCGCGGCAGCGTGGCCAGCCGCCCTGGAATGGGCAGAAAATGAACTTGTGTGCCACGCCATCGTTGCCCCTGCTGAGGGCGAGGTGGACGCTGTGTGGTGGGCGCTTGAGGCGCGGGAGGGCTGATCATTGCACGTGATTTTCACCGTCTGACCTGGGTTACACAAGAAGCCGTAAAAATGTAAATATAGCGGCAAAAATAGATCCTGTGCAAATTTACGTTATTGCGTGTGAAAACGTAAACGTAAATGTAAAAACCAAGCCTGGCCCGTGGTCTCGCAGCGACCATGCGCATACATACCGCAACTGGCAGCCGAACCTGGCAGTCACAGATCTGTGGCTGACACTCCAGAATGGGCACGTTGGGGACATACCGCGCTGTGCACACCTAAACGCTTACTACTAGGTACCAACTATTGTGCGCGTGCGCGGTGCTTGGCTCCAGGCGTGCAAGTGCTGTGCCTCGCATCGTCCGAAATGGTGCCAACCTCGTCAGGAAGACGTTTTTCTGAATGCACAATGCCACAGCGCATCTGGTGAAACGGTAGGCGTTGATGCAACATAGCTGCTGCATTTGCCGCTGACGCAATGCCGAGCAACACTTCAGCAATGCCACATTCCAATACTGATGAACGTTGACGTGTGCGAGAAGGCTATGTCAATGTTGACACATTGACCGCGTGGCACAGTTGTTCGGTGTTGCGTCAGTGATAATCTTCACACGCAGCTGTGTCCACGTCTACACTTTTTCTAGCAGAGGCTTGCATCTGCTGGAAGGTTGGCGCAGTACATTACGTGTTTGTCGCGCACTCTGGTGACGTTCCCACATCGTTGACCAATGATTGGGAATTTCTCACAGGCCTCCGATGCATTCGACGGATCCTCCCCTCCCAAATCTGTTCGCCTCCCGCCGCATTTACTTTCGAACAGCGTGCCCCTGCTGCGACCTGCCGCGATGTCGCCAGTGCATAGCTGTGTACTGTGCGGCGCTGCAGCTGCAAAGTGCTTTGAGCGGCGCGGAGCCAGCAATCTGAAATGGGGATCTGCAACTTCTGCGGCGACGCTGTGGGCTGAGCCAGCCAACGGCTACAGAAACTGGCCCTGCCCGTATACTGTTATTACTGCGACTGCTACTACTGGTACATCAGGTGCACGGTGTTGTCTGCGTGGGTTGGTGAGTCGCCGTAACGGGGTACGCCTGCAGCCAAATTTGCAGATGCCTGAAGGCACGGGACACAGCATGAAACGTGCTTCCATTCAGCGGGGCCAATTCGCGCACGTCTACAGCGCACGTGAGCGGTGCGCTGTAACTGTGCATATTTCACGTCCCTCAGTGCGCATGTGGGGGCATGTGTTCCCGTCCCCACATGCACAACGACTGAAAAACCATCCCCCCTGTCTCACTCCCTGCCGTCAATGCAAAATATTGTTTAATGCATTATTGAAATAATAGAAACTACTTTCGCGCGTGACGCCTTTGATTGATTGGCTTCAATCGCTTCGAAGCGATGCCTGAGAAGCTTCCGCGACGTCGAACGCAGCCCGCCCGCCCGCCCGAAGTAGCCCCGCCAATCTGTCCTCGTGAGCACTTACTTTCTGGACACATTCACTAATTTCCCGCACTCGTTCACTTATTTTAGGCACGCCTGACGATCTCACTGGCTAAAAAGGCGCATCCCATCGGCGCATGGCCTGGGCGGTTCCCGAGTGCTTTGGGGAACGGTGACGTCGCATGCATCATCTGCCGTTGTACGGCACAGAGTGTACGGCACAGTGTACTTTGGTACGGCGCAGTGCACTGTGGTGCGGCACAGTGTACTGTGGTACGGCATAGTGTGTGAATTTTTGCCCCATGGGGTGGGGGGAGGGCTTGTGGGGCCTGTTTCGTTCGCTGTGTCAGAAGAAAGGGAGAGCGGGCAAAAAGCTCCAAGCTGGCTCCCAACGGAAATGTACACGAAAAACCACGTGGTTTTTGAATCGTGTGAACATGATTTACCGGCCCAAACTAAAATAAGAATGAAGAGATTGCTGCATGAAGACAACAATTTCCATTCTGATGGGAGAGCCGTCCTCACCTGTCATTTGATCAGGTCCTTGTGGCGAATGGCACGTGGCTGGGATCCACCACGGCGCATGCTGCGATGGCATCTGGGGTGACGGTCGTTGTTATGAAGTCCTGCTTCTGCAATATAACGTCTTATTCAAGAGCCCAGGTGTCCCCCCCTCCCAGGCTTGCTACTGACGTTTTTTTACTATTTACGTTATTGAGCTTACGGCTTTCCGCGCACAAACGTAAATTCACAAAGAAATTATTTTCACAGCTGTATTTACGTTTGCACGGCTCTCTGGGACACATAGGTGACAATATGAAAGTCGCACACAACGATCAGTTTACCGCCCCCTCGAGCATATGCAACACAGCGTCCAACTGGCCCTCGGCAAGGGCAATGACGTCGTCGAACAAAAGTGCGTTTTCTGCCCACTCCATCCCGTCTGGCTGCCACTCTCGGACTCCGTAAGTCTATACGTACTGCCTTTGTTTACAGGGTAGGGTATTTACCTTGCATTTACATATTTTTACGCATAAAAACGTGGAAACTATTTTTGTGCGTGAAAACGTAAAACTATTGTTACGCATAGAAAACGTTAATATGATGTGTTTTTACGGTGCAAATAACAAGCCTGCCCCCACCTAAGCACCTTTCCTATCCAATGGAAACATGTGGCCTTGGGATGCACTGCAAGCTTGCAATTAATCCTCCAGAAAGTCAAGACTCTGAGTTTGACAGAGATACGTGCCATGACCAACGTATAGTTTTCATGTTGCATATGAAGATGTATTAATCCACCGTATCCACCTCTCTGAAGACCATTTTATGCCGGCTTCACCTCCCATCGCTGCCGAAGTTCCTGCTGTTTACTGTAGCACATGCGCAGCGCTTAAGTTCTCCAAACATGGGGGCTGTGTTGAGCATGCTTTTTCTCATCAGACGATGAGACCTGCAGATAATCTTTTGTAGATGGAACGGGCGCGGGACATTCTTGCTTGAGACGCGGCATGCCTGTGTGCCGCAATTCAACTTCCTCAAGGAACAATTGCGCCCCTGCCCTTTCACGAATGTCTCATGCTAACTATTTGGAACTGTGCGTCTCCTGTCGTGCTTCCATTAGCTGCAGTCCAGTGCTACTCAGTTCGGTGCACCGCAGAGTGCAGCGCGTAATGGCTTAGATGCAGCTTGGCTACAACATCAATGCAGAGCAACAATGCAGCACATCGTGTCAATTTCGATGGCGTTGCTAATATTAGCATTAATGCAGGTGAGCGCTCTCTGTGACAGAGTGCGACGGGCAAATGTCCGAACCGGCAGCTGAGTACGCGCAGTGACGCAGTGACTCGTCTTGAGTGTAACGCCAGCGACTCTGGATTTGAGCCATTGCAAAAGACTTTGAGGCCGACCTGACGGATCCTGCAGGCCCGACCTGCTCACGCACTAATGCGACGCTCGCCCCATTGAGCTGGACTCCACTGCGACGATGCACCCACGATGGGTGACTATCAGCGCGGCATTGTAGCCACAGAGCGGGGCACAGTCCCCAGTGTGAATAGAGACGCGCAACAGTGCAAGCTCAGAAACCAAGTTCATTACAGGCAAGGTCGTGTATCCTCATGTAGTCTTGCCCCCTGGGTGTGGCGCGCGCCGCATCCAGCGGTGGTGGTGCACCAACTGCCGTTGCTCGCTGACTCACATCGTGAAATGCCACATCAAACCTTCACAGCGCCACAACACATTGCTCTGCGCCCGAATCTGAGATGCAGCAACAAAAAAGTACAAATCCAGGTTTGGTCCAACAGTAGTAATAATACTTAGTATTATTACTACGTAGTCTACATAGTACTTCCTCCGTCCCGAATTAGGTGAAACAATTTGCTTAAGAGGCCGCATTCGTATCACGCATTCTCCCACTTCCATTCAAAATTGGAGCAGAGCACCCTTTAAAACACTAGGAAAAAACAGGCCAGATGACACAGTCCTGACGCGGTCTGCTCAAAAGTCAACTGTGTACTTTCGGCACATGTGGTCCCAAAAGTACACAGTTAGTATACACATTGACACAGTTTCAACTGTGTGCCCTCAAACAACTGTGTAGACTACACGGTTTGACAGGATGCACAGTTGAAACTTTGCCAATATGTGTACTAACTGTGTACTTTTGGGACCACATTTGCCGAGAGTACACAGTTGGATTTTGACCAGACCGTGTCAGGACTGTGTCAACTGGCCGGTCTTTTACTAGTGAAAGCTCAGTACGTGCTGGCAAATTCTTATGGAAAACGGATAAGTACTGGTTGCATTGCAGTACGTTATACACTTGTGACTGCAGCCAGGAAGTCTAATCTTCTCAAGGTCTCGCGGAAGACCCCCCCAAACTGGGCCGCGCTCCCTGACCCATAATGCAAAGCGCAGGTTGGATATCTCACTAGGAAAAAACGGACTGAATAACACTTTTTCGAACACACATAAAACACATTTCATCAGGGTTCTGCACGCTAAGAACACAAAAATAACACAAACCCGTAAACTTTGTACACACTTCAACACGTGTTATTTGGCCCTTTTTTTTCCTAGTGTCTGCAGCCACCGTCGCGACTGCACGTTGGAGACGTACCAATCGAACAGGATAGACCGCGGGAACGAGTTCAGCACAGCTCAATCGCCGATTGCGATCGCGGTCACTGGTAGATAACGGCATGTCGGCGATGCCATCTGCGATGCTATTTTGACACAAGTTGATGCCGTCGCAGTGATTGCGGCGGAATAAAAGCGGCTGCGACGGCACCAATTTGTGTCGAATGGCACCGCAACTGGCATCGCAAATAGGCTGTTTTCTACTTGTGGGTTTTGAAGGGCCAGCGAGGATTTTCAGCTCCGGATCGGAGACACAGAAATCGGCGAACTTCACAATCACGGCGTTTTCAGAAAGGGCTGGCCCCATGCATGCCCATATGGGCATGACCGCTGTAGGCGCTAAGACCACCACGAAGAGTTTGGAAGAATACGGTCCTCACATCGCTGCGAGGTAGACAAAGGATTGCTTGGCCTGCCTGTGCTGTGCACATGCCGCAATGAGCACTTTATTCATTCATTTATTATTAGTTTAAATTTGCGCCGCTTTGAAAGCGGCCGCCCCGGCAGGTTCTTGTGGGCTCCGTCGGAAAATGCAAAAGCACTACCATAGAGTCACTTGGGTTCTCCGATTGAGCATCCACACCATCCTTCCTAGCGTTTTCTGGGGCTGATGCCTCCTTGAGTGTGGTGCTCTCTGCTAGGGAAGTTATCAATTGTAGATCTGTGTCGAGCAAAGAGCATTTGATGCACATAATTATTCTATAGCTATTCCAAAGACAGCAGGAGACCTATGGGAAATGGCCAATCCCAGAAAGGTTGGCGCGCCGCCGTGAACGCTGGTGCGGATTGCCAGCGAACACTGATGGTGATGGGCAAACATAACCGTCACATCTGCCGATCTTCCTTCTTGGAGGGTGTCGATTTCTGGGCTAGATCCGAAGCAACGAGGGAACCCTGCCCTTCTGATACCACGACGCGCCATCGCTTTTCTGAGGGCCAGGTGGACGCTGTGGGCGTGCTCGAGGGGCGAACGACTGATCATTGGGTGCCATTTCATCATGCAATCCGGCTGCTCCAACGCGCCATAAAAATGCGCAACATATCCGTTTCTGTGTTTATGTGTCTTATGTGCTAAACCGCAAAAGTAAAAATGGCGCTGTGTAACGTGAAGATCAAGCCTGTGCAGCGCCCTTCACGCCATGCTGCGGCACCGCCGCCCTTTGTGCTTTCGACGTCTGCTGTGCACAAAAACACCCTTCTGGGGCACCTGGTCCATCCCCCATTTCAGACCTGCATGCCCCATCAGAAGTCACCAAAAACGTCCAGTGCATCTTGAGGCACGTCATGTCTTCGAAGCAGCACGGAACGTCACCAATTGTATTGTAATCATCATCAACGTCAATTTTACGTGACAAGGCAAGTAGATTGCCGTCAACCCATTTGCCCGAGCGAAGCAGAGTCCATAAATTTTTCACCGAGACCTAATGTACAACACAATTTAATCTAATCTAATTTATAACACAGGTCATGCCACCGCCACGGCCTCTCTTTAAAATGGCGCAGTTTCTCATCAAAGGGACAAAAATTACACGGCAACTCACCAAAGGCCCATCTTCACGGCCACGATACAAAATTGAAGGTCACGGCACGATGCAAAAGGCCACGGCTCATCAGGAGACGGCTCCTCTTCTCACCAAGGCACGGATATGCCGCATCTTCTCATTAATAGCACAATGCAGGCTTGGTCTTTTAGCGTATGGCCTCATGTGTCTGTTTACGCTGTAAAGACCAATCCTGGCACAGTGATGGCGCGGCCCTCATCAAAGACACAGCAGCTCCTCAAAGGCACCACCCCCTGGGCATCACACCCCCTCCACACCAGCTCACAGCTACAAACTGCCATAATGGCTATGATAGCAAAGACCACAAACGACAGTGGTGTTTTTCATAAAGACTTTAATTAAGTGCCAACTTTCGTGGCGGCACTTTGAAATCGCCAAAACCACACATTTTGTGTTCGTTTTGGAATAAAGAATTTTGGGAGTCAAGAAGCAAAGGGCCAAGGGGGGGGGGAGGGCGGGGGGAAACGCTGCGAGGCGTTGATGCCGAGGGGGCTCCACCGCATCGGCCGCCCGGGGCGCAGGCGCGACTCACGGGTAGGGCCAGAGTCACGGGCCAGCGGGTGTCCGATGTCCGAAATCTGTGCCCCCCAGTCTGCGGTGCGCGGTGCTCCTGTTGTGCTAGGAGACCTCTGCATCAGGGGTGCGGCACAGAGTCTTGTACGAAATCTTGCCGGGGTTGGGTGGGAGGTTGGCCACTGTATGTCCCGGTGTCCATCAGGCAGTGTCGCTGCATCAGCAGGCAATGGGCACCTGTCACGTGGCACAGATCCTTTGCACCGCTGCACTCATTGCCGCAATCCATGACCGCACGTGCTGCAGTGCCCTCTTGAGAGGGGACAGTCGTTACGCTGTGCTTCTGCAAATGCTGCATCACGTTCATGTCTAGATTGATTCCACGTGCAACCCCTCACTTCCAACCCCCAACCCGCCCACCCCTTCCAAATGGAAGAGATGTGGGCGTTGTGCCACCTCACAAGGAAGCCCAGGCGCTGGATTTGGCTGAGGCATGTGCAATTACCGTGTCGTTCTCATGCTGCAGACAAGGATTCATAAGCATTCCTTCCCCCCGTCTTCAGCACCTTTTGGTGCTGACAGTGTTGCCATTTGCTGTTGTTCTTCCTGCTCTTTTTTGACTATGCATATGCAGTGCACCCAGATCCTCTGAACGTTGGGATGTGTTGGGCTTTGCTTAAGTAAATGAGACCTGCAGACAATCATCTTTGGATCCATCCAAAACGAACAAGAGTTTCCTGCTCCTGTTCCATGGTACAGAGGCAGGAAATTCTTATTTGGATGGTGGCATGGCCATTGTCTGGCATATTTTCAGGTTTCTCAAGGAACCATTCCACCCCTTTGCGCTCAATTCTCAACCACTGTGCATCTCCTGTTGTATTTGTCATTGCTGCAGTTGGCTACAGTTCAGTGCTGTTGCATTGCAAAGTAGCACATTTTGGTTTGGTGCGGCATGGTGACAACATCACTACAGAACAACACTGCAGAACATCGTGTACAGAACATTGTGTCACCTTGATTGTGCTGCTGATGGAGGTGCCAGCTAGCTGGGTGGGAGAGCGCCATGAGCAACTGCCTAAAGCAGCAAGTGAGCGCACTTGGTGGTGCCCTGAGTGCAAAGCCAATGCCTTTCTGTTTTGGGCTACTGAAATAGCCAATGAGGGCAACCCCGGAGGAGTGAGGGAAACCTCCCTTTGCTGCCTAGAGTCTTTGATCGTTCATTTGTCAGATGTGGCTTCATGCACTGCCCGAGATGTTCTCTGCATCCCAGCACATCTGCACATGGTATAACCTTGTACTGTTGTGCGGTATGTTACAGTGGAAGGGAGCTTCTGCTGACAGAGCACCTGGTTGTGTGGCAGCAGAATGGGGAGCCAATCGATGACTGGGGCGCCAATCGGTGACTGGGGCAACCTGCCATTCCTGATCTTGGATGGCTGTAAAGATGCTTTGGAGAGGCACAGAAGCAGCCAGGCTGTGTTGAAGACTGCCCGACTAGTGAACAGATGGTGGGGCCGATGGGCGAATGGTGCCATTACAAGCCTGAGGGTCACTGTGAGGCCACCAGGGCTGCCAGGATGCCGGTCAAATGCTTCCTGTGCCCTGTGCACAGTTGTCAACAAGTTTGTAGGCTTGTGTGAGCTGAAGGTGCAGATTAGGAATGATGGTGATGCCAGTGACTTGATACCGCTGCAAGCTCTGAAGCATTTGGCACGCTTGGACTTGAGGATGGACTACCTCAGTGATGAGGTTTTTCAGCGTGTGGGAGGCTTGACGGCCCTCACGCAGCTGGAAATTTGTGGTCATTGCCAGGGTGCACAAATTCCAGACACGAGCCTGGGACACCTTGACAGTTTGGGGTCTCTGAAACAGCTGCGTTTACAACTGTTTGGCAAGATCTCTGATGCACACCTGGTGCAGATTGGGGCATGGACTGGCCTTCAGCACTTGGACTTGTCTGACTCTACACAAATTACAGATGCGGGAATGGAACATTTGGGTCAGTTAGCCAGCCTGACACACCTGGATCTCAGCGGTTGCCCACAAGTTGGGGGTACCGGTTTCAGACTTGTTGCAAACATGACAAAGCTCAGATACTTGGATTTAGGAAATTGCTGCCTCCCTGACTCCTTGATGATGGCCATCGGGATGCTCACTGCCCTAACTTTCCTCAATTTTGATGGTTTTCCTCGTCCACTCTGCAGGAGAGATGCGCAACTCAGCGACGATGGCATCGCACACATTGACGGGCTGACGTCCCTTAACCATTTGGGGCTGAAATGGTGCAAGGATGTCACAAACATGGGCATCGCGCACGTAGGAGCATTAATATCCCTCACAAGCCTGGACTTGGATTATGTCAGCAATATCACAGACAGTGGTTTGGCCTTTGTTGGGCGCTTAACGGCCCTCAGAGGATTGTCACTGAAACATTGTGGACGTATCTCCAATGAGGGCTTGTACCATGTTGGACATTTGGCGTGCCTCAGGAGACTATCATTAAATAGTTGCAGGCAAGTGTCTGATGAGGGATTGCTGCACATTGGGAAGTTGACCGCCTTGACCTGGCTGGATTTGCGCCACTGTAACAAGATATCTAGCATGGGACTGCAGGTTATTGGCAAGTTGGACTCCCTTACATATTTGGACATAGGATATGTTGGACGGATCGCCGATGTTCAATCGGCCCAATTGGGAGGGCTTAAGATGCTCCGACGGTTGAGATTGAATCAGGGTGCCTGGGATCTTCGACGCTTGGAACAGACACTGACGGATTGCAAAATAACACTGTGGTGAGAGTGCAAACGGTTCATGTGACAGACGGCATATGCAACTGGGCTGGGGGTCTGGTCGGGTGCTCATCATTGGTGTCATGTCAGGCACGCTACTGTAAACATATTCAACCCTTCCGCATGGCAGCTTAACTCCTGGCCCATTTTGGCGGAGAAAAGTTGACAAACCATAACGCAACGCCTTGCCTTTTTTCTGCAGAGCAACGTAAACGAATAAAAATAACGCTCTGGAAAGCAAAATGAGGAGCAAAAAGGGTCGCGATGGAATTTTCTGGTGCGGAAGGGTTGACTATTGTACGCTAACTCAGGCATGCTGCGAATCGTTGAGGCATTGCACCATTATCGACCGGGGAACTGTGACAAATCCCATCTCGTTCCAAAGGGTCCGATGTCTCATATCGGGTTCAAGTGTTCATTCTTAGTGCCGCCTTCTAGCACTGATTCAGTGTCCGACTATCGGGTTGTCAATTGTGGAAGACTTGCAGAGAAACTACGGAGTGTTAAGTTCTAGCTGAACATCAATGTCACAAACTGATGTCATTGGAACATTGTGTATGTTGTATCTGGCAGCTGATAAGATGGCATAGATTAACAGTGTGTATCGCTGTGGCAAGATTAATGTTTCCCTGCTGCTGAGCGTGACTGCGTGGTATGGTGATGGCCTGGCTGCAATGAGAAGCCGTTGTGCCATAGTGTTGTCAATGGCATGATGCTGAAAAGCCAGCTGTGGTGAGCGCCGAGACTGAACTGTCAATCCAGGAATGAAGAATAGACGGTGAGGTGTGATACATTGGAGCAAAAGAGTGAGAAAGTGAGTGGTTCAACAAAGCTTCAACTTGACACCCTTGGATCGAGGGTTGGCAAGCCCTTTGGGGTGGCCACAGGCCAGAGTACATGGCAACATATTTATATGTGATACAACAAAGCAATGGTCTCTTGGCGGAAAGACCCCTAAATACAAGGTCACACGTCAATGTCATCCCCTCCACTAAAGCCACATGGATACGAGGGGATGGATGTGAAGAATGTAAGTCCAAAATGCGATAAATGGGATTTGTGCCACTGTCGGCCTTTGGGCGGCTCAATTGCGCAATGAGCCTTTGGGCTGCGGCGACCCCGTGGGTACGGGAGGCATTCACGACGGCCACGCGCGGGGAAGACACGTCTGTCACTCACGATCCGAACCCATCATTACAAACGAAGCGAGTGGTATTTATAGTGCGATGGTGCGACAGTTCATGAGTTGTTGTCTCCAGAATAACCACTCTGGCCACTTTCGCGAGCTGGCCGGGTTGGTGTCCATTTCTCACGCCAAGTTTCTATTCCCGCCGCCCAGACCAACTATGATCCATTGCCAACTAGCTCAGCATCTACCCGCGTACACTACCCACTCCCACTCTCCCTCACTCCCACACTTCCTCAGCTCCTATTCCCGCCGCCATCCCCAACTATGATCCAATCCCAAAGCCGTCCCCGTTCGTTCACTATAGCCAATTCCCCTTAACTGGCTCCCTTATCATACGTACAACCCCACTCCCCACAGCACTATCGGCGCAAGTCGCGACGTCCCCGGCGCGAGCAAAAATCGATCATCGGCCACTGCCCCCATTCCACTCGATCAGATCATAGACAGATGCTGCCATTCTTTCCATCGCTCAATGGAAAAATGCTCCCCGGCTCTGATGCACCTTCACCTCCGAACCTTCACCTTCTTGGCCGCCTTGTTGGTGGGCGACCGCTGCCCACTCCGTCATCCTTTGGAGCTGCTCCGGATCCAGCTTGACGCTTGATTCCACGCTTTCCGGCCACTGGCGCTCTGGTCTTTGGATCCGCGGTGCACAATTTGACGTGGTGTCCCGCAAAAACCTTCGTGCGTCCTTTTCCCGGCACCTTCACTCCAATCGCTCCTTTGGCGCCTACCCACTTGACAGTGGCAGGTCCAGCCCATCGTGGCGCTAGCTTGTGGGCCCTCTTCTCCACCCAATAAAGCACAGGATCTCCCGGTTGCAGGCTGGTCGTGTCCTTATGCTCCCAAGCACGTGCAACCTCCTGCCGCTGCAACACGTGTCGTTGGCGCAGCTGCTCCAACTTCGCCAATCTCGCAGCATTGTCCCTATCAATGTTCTCGCCCTCCTCTGGCAGTGATGGCGCTATATCACACTCAGCCAGCACGTTGATTTCCATTGGCCCCCTGGGCAGAACTCCGTACAACAGTTCGGCTGGCGATGCATTGCGTCTCCGCGTGCGGCGCGTGTTGATGGCGAAAAGTGCTCCCACCAACAGATGGTCCCAACAATCTCCTTCGCACATCTTTCTTAATCGCACTAATACTTCCTGATTACCCCTTTCGACCCTTCCATGAGATGGGGGGTAATATGCTGCAGACCAGCTGCGTCGAATCCCCCATTTCACGCATAAAGTCTGAAATGCACCGTGGAAATGCGCTCCGTTATCTGTATGAATTTTCTGCGGGATTCCAAACTTCAAGATGATTTCATTCACCACGAATTCCACTGTTGCAGCTGCGGTCGCGTTGGGATACGCACGGGCCATCATATAACCCGTCATTCCGTCAATCGCTACGATTATGCAACGGTTTCCAGCTGGCGTCACCGGCATGCCCAATATCCAATCGATCTGGACCCACTCAAACGGCTGCCTCGCAGCCACCGGCACGCGATTCCGTGAAGCCTTCCGAGGCCCATGTTGCGCGCAGCGCATGCACTTATCAACCCAAGCGGTGACATCACCTTTCAAAGTGGGCCACCAGAATGCCCCTTCTAGGCGCTTCATCGTCACCTCTTTCCTGTAGTGGCCCCCAAGTGCAGAATCGTGGGCTTGTCGTAGGGCCTTTGGTACTTCAGCCTCTAGAAGGCAAATCGCGTAGGTGCCACCTGCCATGCGCTTGAGCAGGCGTCCGCCTTCCACCTTAAACTCTTCCGTTGAAAACACTTCCCTCATGATGCCCTGATACCACTCAGAACTCACAAACCGCTGAATCCCGTCAGTGGGGATCGCTGCCATCTCGTCCTCCGGGTCCAAGCCCACTTTCCCTTCGCATTCTCCCATGCACAACTCAGCACATTCAGACTGGTTATCATTCGATTCAATGGACATCTCATCGTCCACTTCCCTGGCCCAGAAATGGAATTCGTCATCCTCAATTTCTGCAGCATTAGGTACGATTTCCGCCGCATTTCCTGCCCTCATTCTGGACATTCCGTCAGCATTGGAATGTTTCTGCCCTTTGCGCGACTGGAACTCAATATCATATTCTGCAAGTATGCATTTCCAACGTGCACATCTCCCAGTCAGATCACGTTTCCGCAGCAGCCCCAAAATCGGGATGTGATCAGTTCTCACAACTGTGGTTCGGCCTAATATATATGGCCGAAACTTCACCACAGCCACCACCACTGCCAACGCCTCACGTTCAGTCACTGAGTATGCCCGTTCTGCACTCGTCAAAAGGCGTGAGTGATAATACACAGGGTGCTCACTGCCATCCGAAACCTGAGAAAGTACAGCCCCCACCGCATCGTTACTCGCATCGGCGTCCACAATGAAGGGGCGATTGCAGTCCGGTTTTGCCAACACCGGTGCATGGGTGAGGGCCGATTTCAGCTCCACAAAGACCCGCTGGTGTGCATCGTCCCATGTAGGCAGCTCAGCGCCCCGTCGCTCTGGGGTCACCTTGAGCAATTCGGTCAGTGGCTTGGAGATCTGGCCGAAATTCTTGACAAAACGACGGTAGTAACCTGTCATGCCAAGAAAACTTCGCAGCTGCGTTTTTGTGACGGGGATCTCAAAATTCTCCACTTTCTCCACTTTGTCCTTTAGCACCGCCATGCCCCTCACAGAAAGGGTGTGCCCCACGAACTCCAGCTGCTCAAACCCAATAAAGACCTTCTTGGGTTTGAGTTTCAACTTGAACTCCCGGGAGCGTTCCAGAAATGCGCGCAGATCCCGAGTGATGCTGTCCTCCCCCGTGTGCCCAATGCCCCCATCGTCCACAAACGTCCGCGTTCTTTCCAACCCACCATATGCCCTTGCTACCAGGCGGCTATAACGCGGGGGGGCATTTCGAAGCCCAAACGGCAGCACCGTCCATGCATAAATACCGAACGGTGTCAGAAAGGCTGTAAGGGGGATGGATTCCGCATCGAGTCCCACCGCATAATACCCACTAAACCCGTCTACAGTCGTGTAGAGGGGGTACCCGGACAGATCCTCCACGACTTCATCAATCCGGGGAAGGGGGAAGCGGTCAGGGACAGTCGCTTGGTTTAATGCGACGTACGTACAACAAAATCGTATGTCCCCTCCCTTTTTCGGAGGGAACGTCACCGATGACAGCCACTCACAATCTTGCTCCCACTTCACAATCAACCCTGCACTTTCCAAGGTTTCCAACTGGTTTTTCATGAATTCCAGTTCCTTCGGGGCAAATCTCCGCTGAGCACCGCAATACACAGGTGCAGCCCCCTCTTTCAGCTGAATGTGAAATGTCATGGCAGGCGTTCGTTCCAAGTCCAAGTACGAGACGGCAAAACAGTCTTTGTACTGCACTAGCAAGTCGCGCACTTCCCTCACCACCGTTGGCGATAACGTGGGGCCAAAATGGATCTCCGCCAGCCACTCATTTTCCAGGTCGTCCATGATGCTGGGGAGACCTGCCAATCGGGCGGGGGCCGTGCAGTCCTCTTCGAAAAACGTGTCGCTATCATTTTCCAAATCAAACTGCGCCAGGAGCCCTTGAAGGACGCCGTCAGCATCACCTTCATCACTGCTGGACGTTTCTGACGTATCACTCGTCACTTCCCTCAATTCGCGCACAGCAGCGGTACTGGCAGGACCTCCAATTGCCGGCCCCGCTGGCGCACGATCACCCTCCCTGAGCCCAGGGTATACGTACGGGCCTTGAAGTCAGCGGTACTCGCGGTGTTACTTAACCAGTCTTGCCCAAGGAGCACGTCGTATGCTCCCTTCGCATCGACGCGCCTT